TTTTAAGAAAGACGAGCTACCAGGATATGCGAAAGCGTTTTCCACGTCTGATAGAGAATGCTGGAAAATCAGTTGCTAAAGCAGCATGCCTTGTGTAACTGTAAGATGAGATTGTTTCGGCACACAAATATCACAAAGAGTAGATCAAACCCAAAACAACTTTAGTATTTATTCATCAATCTGTTCAGTGAACAAAAACAAACTTCCCATCATACATCGTTAACAGCTGGGGATTCTACTGGATTTTTCACCGACAAGGTTGCAATTATCAATAAGGCAATATTTCACAGGGATGCTGAGTATGTACTAAATCACTGCAACTTTAGATAAAAATTATTTCTAGAATTTTAGACCGGTTTCAAATTTTCATTGAACGATTGGGACTCTTTGGTCACCTGTCTGTCCACCGGTTGTTGCCCAAATGTCAGTCTGCTTACAGACCAGGGTCATCTACAGAAACATCTTTGCTGAAGGTGTTTGGTGATATTAGCACTCAGGTAGGGTGGTTTTATTGGCTTTACTCGACCTCAGTTCAGCGTTTGAAACAGTTGGTCATGGTGTGTTGTTAAAGAGATTGGCGGTTACTTTTGGTATTGCTGAGGTGGCTTTGGATTGGTTTGCCTTAGTGCACTTAGTGAATTTTGATGGATGGAAGATGGAACACAAAAAGTTATTTTGGATGATAAGGTGGTGATGGTGACTGATGTCCTTCAGGGTTCGGTTTTGGGACTAACAAAGTTTGCTTTTCGATTTTCCTTACTAGAATTTTTGTCATTTCAATTGTCCTTACTAGAATTTTTCGAAAATTGTTCAATGCATTCAATTTCTTTGCGCAGTTATAATCATCTGTTAGAAGTTTACTCTAAAAATGCCTCTTTGTTTCTTGATTTCAGCTTGTAATGGATGAATTCACTGTAATCTTGGTTTGTCGTTCTGCCTTGTTTATTTGCACAATCTGTTTTTCAATATCAATTGTTTTTGCAATTTTGTTCCCTTTTTTTTTAATTTTACGGTTTAATCTTAAATTTACAAATTCTCTGTTTGTCGGGGTGGGGGTAGATGGCAATATAGTTAAATTAATCATTCGGCGTACTGTTTTGTTGTTTTTTTTAGAATAAAAATAATCACAAATATCGCAACTAAACTAATTAAAATGTTGGTATACACAATTTTTTTTTATGTTTTGTTAGAATCATAATCGTACTAAAATTACAATAAAGTTTAAAAATTCTTTTATTGATGTATTTGTGTAAAAACTTCAAAGAAATTGGCGTTTATGTATATTCTCGTTTGTTTTAAATTTTATTATTAAATTGCTATTTCAATATTTCACTTGTGGTTTTTGGTTGAGCAAAAAGAGGAACATAGCGCGTCTATCGGACACCAAAACAAGACACGGAACATTGGGGTTGAAATTCGGGACTGTCCAGCCCAATTCGGAACGGTTGGAAACTATGTAACATTTACCTCTGTAACAGAAAGAGAGATCAATAGCAGTATACGGTTAAACGTGAAAGAAACATCAACAAAAGCAAAAAACAACAGTACATTTTATCATTCTAATATGATATTAATACATAAACTTGTAATAACTTTACTGGCCTTCGGGCTCACCCGCGCACATTTTCAGTGTGCTATAGAGTCTGGTCTCATTCTTTAGTTCCATCATGGATATTATATCATGGTTTTGTTAGTACGAACTTATGCTACTAACAAGACACCTTGTTGTGAGTTAAAATAAATGAAACAAACACAATTCAGGCGTAATAAAATATTATCTTTATTCCCACGTGAATCTCGAACCGTTTCGTTTTACAAGCTATCAGGAAAAAGGGAAGAAATCGAGAGAGAAGAAAAGACATAAAAATTAACATAGATTAGGTAACATATAAAATTGCAATAATCTTTTAATAACAATCAATATATGAGATAGTTAATAAATAAATGTTTGATCCCTACAGTTTCCATGAACAATTCTAATTAAATTCATCACATTTTACAATTATTATAGATTCATTTGTTTTTTAAAGATTTTATTCATTTTGATTATTTTTAATTGATTTGTTTCGTGATTTGCATAATATTTAAACATATTTAATATCTTTTATCTGGTCTCAAAAGCCAAGCTGATTTGAAACGTTGTAATTGACAAGCCTCCCCTTTAATAAAATTTATTCAATAATTATTCAATAATTCAACAAAAAGTAAAATTTAGTATATCAATTTTAAATGTTGTTGATTTGCACTTCAATAATTTATCATGTTCTTACACTCGTAGATTTAATGATATTTTGTCTCTTTTTAACTTAACTCAATATTGTTCTTTTCCTACCCATACTTCTGGTAACACTACTGATTTTATAATAGCTTCATCTTTTTCTAAGCCCATTAATATCTCTGCTAGCTCTGTTCCTTATTTTGATCACCTTCTTATTGAGTCTGTTTTTTCATTAGATTTTCTTCCTTCAAATTCATCTATGTCTCTTTCTAAAAGATGCTGGTCTTCTCTTAATAAAGATATTTTTCTTCAATCTCTTACTGAAACTATTTTTGATACTACCTTATTTTCTGATGATGATGATTTTGTCTATGCTTTTAATATCTACATAACTTCTATTCTTGATAAGCTTATTCCTCTTAAATCTTTTACTTATAGGCTCTATTCTCGTAAGGCTCCTTGGTTTGATTATGCTTGTGTAGTAGCCAAGAAAAGTGTTAGAAGACTGGAGAAAGCCTATAGGTTAAATCCATCTAACTCTCTTTATTCTATCTATGAATCTGAATTGATTAATTATAAATATCTACTGTTCTCTAAACACTCTACTTTTCTTAAAAATTCTATAACATCTGCTTCAACATCTAAAAATAGGTGGTCTGTTCTATCTAAACTTCTACATAAAAATCCTCTCACTCATCTTTTTCTGCTCAACAGTTTCATGACTTTTTTGTAAATAAAATTACTTCTTTAAGAACATCTAATTCTAATTTTTCTTCTCATAACTTTACTAAACTTACTACTGAGTCTTTTTCTTTATTTACTCCAATAAATCTTTTAGAACTAACTAAAATTATTAATTCTATGTCGTCTACAATCTGTTCTCTAGATCTACTTCCTTCTAATTTACTTAAAGAATTTTCTTCAATATTTTATCCAATCATTCTCAAATTAGTTAATTTATCTCTTTCCACCTCTAAATTTCCTACTTCTTATAAGAATTCTATTGTTATTCCTATTCTTAAAAACTCATCCTTAGATCCTACCTCTTTATCTAATTATAGACCTGTAACTAATATTACTTTCATCTCTAAAATAATAGAAAAAGTAGTTTTTAATCAACTGTCATCCTATTTAAACTTTAACTCCTTGCTACCTGTATCTCAATTTGGTTTCAGACCTGCTCACAGTACTGAAACTTTTTTACTGAAAATACACAATGATATCCTTCTCTCTAGTGACAATAGTAATCTTACTCTTCTTCTTGCTCTTGACTTTTCCTCGGCTTTTGATACTGTTGACCATACTATTCTCTTGAGACTGCTGCATCTTTCTTTTAATATTACTGATTCTTGTCTATCTCGGTTTTCTTCTTATCTCTGTAATCGTTTTTCTTCTGTTGTTCTCAATAATTCTACTTCTAACTCCTCTACTCTTACTTTCGGGGTACCTCAGGGTTCTATCCTTGGCCCTCTTCTATTTATACTCTATACTTCTGAACTACCTCTTATTATTAATAACTTTTCTTTCTCTAGTCAACTATATGCTGATGATTCTTACATTTATACTTCTTTTCCTCCATCTAATCTCAATAGTGTTCTTCATAATTTATCTCTATGTCTTTCTTCAATTATCGCTTGGTTTGACTCTATGTGTCTGAAACTTAATCCTTCTAAGTTTGAATTAATTTGTTTTAATAAATCTAAACACTCTATTACTATTCCTACTATTATCTTCTTACCTGATTCTAAAACTCTTGATGTCTCTCCTAAATTTCGTAGTCTAGGTTTTATCTTTGATTATGTCTCTTTCTTCTCAGATTAATAGTGTTGCTAGAAGCTCTTACTTTCATCTACGTAGAATAAAAAAAACTTTTGCCTTTTCTTGATGATCCTACTCTTCTCCTTTTTGTTACTTCGTTAGTCTTATCTAGGATTGATTATTGTAACTCGCTCTACTATGGTCTTCCTGACTCTATACTCTATCCTTTAAGTAAAGCTTTTAACTCTGCTGCTCGTCTAGTTGCTCGTGCCCCTTTCTTTTCTCATATATCTCCATATCTTGTTTTCTTGCACTGGCTATCTATAAAATATAGAATAATTTTTAAAATTTGCACGTTCATGTATAAGTCTCAATCTAAATTATTTCCTAAGTATTTATCAGATATATTAATTGAACCTAAACGCCCCGGTTTACGATCGTCTTGATTGATTGATTGATTGATTGATTTCATATTAGATATTTAATTTTTATGAATAAGAAAAATGTAATACTTTATTGAAATAAAATTGCTGTTTAAGTTCTTTGAACTTAAAGGGTAATTATCATATCATGTATATGTCACTAGGCTACCGGAATCCATCAACGATAAACCACCACTGAAGTTTTAACAATATTAAAAGCTGTTTAAGCACGCAGGGTAACTTCACGTTCACTTTTATTCATACTCGTTTTGGTTTAGCGATTGTAAACATCCGTACAGGTTTAATCGAAATTCTGAAAAATATTTGTAATAGAATAAATTTTAAGGGTGAGAGATTATAATTAAAATAAGCAAATAACAATTAGATGTTTTTTTTAGACTTGAAAAAATTGAAATCACACGAAACTGAATATGTAATATAAATTATAAATATACGGATAATGATTGTTGCGTATGGGGGTAGTAAGGTAAACGACAAACCACACAAACGTAGTCGTAGTACCCATGAACTACTTGACTAAATTCTTTAGTACCAAATCAAACCGTATAGTGTATATTATAAATTATTTTGTTATACGGACGATGTCTTTCATTACGAAACAAACTACGTTTGAGGATTCGTGTAACCTTCATGCAATGAATGAGAAAGTTCAAAATCTTGCGAGTAATGTTTACAAGGAATTTGAAATTATAATTTCTAGATATGGATCCGACACAGTCAATAGCTTGATGCCAGTTGTTATCAATATCTTGGAAAATTTAGATCAAAGTCTGAAAGAGAAACAAAAATTAGACATTGATTTTGAATTATCGAAAGTTGAAATAGAACATTTAAAAAATCAGTGTGACAAAGAAAAAGCTTTGAGACGCACAGCAGATTTAAAATTTCTTGAAATGGAAGATTTGGTTGAAGAGACCAAAAAGCAATTCAATCAGTTCAAATCTGCTTCTGAATTCTTCAATAAAAGATCAGAAATGAAAGTAAAAAATCTTCAAGAACATATCAATAGACTTGAAGATAAAGAAAACAAATCCAAGGAGGATTATTCTAAGCTATATGTAAAGTATTCAGATTTGTTTAAAAGTCATGCAGATTTTATACAAAAAACAAGTATGAAAAACTATCATGAAAATAATGAACAAAAAAAGTGTTTAAATTGTCAGAGAACAGATAAAGAGATAATTATTGATCCATTAGTTGCTGTACCTGAAACAATAAATATTAATAATCAAAATTTGAATCTTTTTAAATTCATTGATAAAAGTATTGAAATAAAGGATTATAAACAATCATCCAAAACAATTAATTCAGAAATCTGTGAAATTGGATCACATTCTTTTTCAAAAAAATCAGATTTAAATTCCTTATCTGAAATAAGAGATTCCACTCCTTGCATCGACAGTGAAAAATATGGAAGTAAAACAGTAGAAAATAATGATCCATCAAATGTTCACACTATTTCGTCATTGTCATCTATATATCAGAACAATAGTGAACAAACAAATTATGTGATTTATTCAAATAGTCTTTCAAATAGTTATACTAGCACCAATCATTCACAAGAAGATCTTAATGACAACAAAATAGTTGATGCTTTGTATGGTGAATGCATTATGGCATCCAATGCAGGTATCTGCCAAAAACCACTCACCGATGCAACAAATGCTAGTCTTGCTGAAAAAAATACTACTGATGAATTTAAATTGAATTGTGAAGATACATATGATACAAGAAATTCTGGTAAAATTATGAAACACATTTTAGATATTGAAGAAGATGTTATTGTTGATAGTAGTAACATCCATAACCATTCTGATTATGATCCAGTTAGGAACATATCTCTATATGAAGAGTTTTCTATATTGGATGAAGATGTTGGTGCAGATTTGGTTAGTGTTGGTGCAGAAGTTGACAAATTAATACAAGAAAATGCAGAACTATTAGTAACAAAAAATGCTCTAAATGTTTTGAAAGATGATTTGATTGCTGATGTTGAAGAATTATCTGGAGAAATTGAACTTTTGAAAGAAGAAATTCAAACTTTAAAAGAAGACAAAAATGGGCTAGTAATCAGAATTGCAGAACTTGAAGAGGAGTTGAAAAAATCTAGGAAAATAATAACTAAATTTGAAGCAAAATATGAAGAACAACCACTGGATGAAATGGGAAAAACAACATTCTCTCGAGCAGAATTGGTTAGAGTACTAATGGAGCGAAATCAATACAAAGAAAAATGGATGGAATTACAAGAAGCTGTTAGATGGGCTGAAACTATAAGAGCGTCACGTGTACATCCTGATTTAGTGAATTCTGTTGTTGAATCTAAAAAGAGTCGAACTTCTGCCGTTTGGGGATTTTTCAACTCATTTTTAGGTAAAGAAAAAGATGATGCCTAATAAATTTTTGCTTCTATATATAAAATTTTGGATTGTTATTTATAATATTTTGATTTATTTAACTACTAATAATATGATTATTATGCAAGCTGTTCTTTGTTTATTATATTTTAACATTTTTTTAAAATAAAACTGTCACATAATTTTGACGAATTGGCAATTAAGTTAAAGTTCTCATTCCAATAATTTTTTGCAGTTGTATAAATATTTACACTGTTAATAGAATTATTTGTCTTGGGTTTTTTAAAATTTAAATATTTTTGGATGAAAATGATATTTTTTGTCAAGGATGGATGATTCTGAATAAAGTCCACAAAATTTTGACTTGTCATGCTCGTGACTTGTGTTTTGCCGTTTGCGCCAATATCATATGGTGTTGTACGTCTGTTATATATACTACATAAATTTATGTAGTATATATTAGATTCCAAATGTCACCAGTGCGTTTCGGTTTTGTGACTTTTTCCATCACAGTTATAAGTAACAGTGGACTGAGAATCGAGCCTTGGTGAAGTCAAATGCATCTGTGTTTTCAACCGTTGTGTCGACGAGAGTCTTAGTATTCGTATACATTTTCATCACAAGTCACAAGATATTCTGGAATGACTTGTAGACGTGGACTCCACCTGATTGCTTCACGGGGAAGTCGATCAAATGCTTTTTCAAGGTCTACAAAAATGTGTGATAGTTGCTGATGCTTTGCGAGGTACTTCTCTTGCAGTCGCCGAAAGATGTGAATTGCATCAATTGTTGATTTCTCCGCTAGGAAACCAAATTGATAATTTCCGATTGTGATGCACGACGTCAATTTTCAGGGAGTGTTCCAACAGACGTATACTCCAATATGATGAACAGTTCAACGGATCACCTTTACCTTTGTATAGCGGAACTGTCATGCTATAGTTCCGTTCAGTCGGCATTGAGTAATTTCTCCACACTTCCCGGCAAAGTTTTAATAACGTTTGAATACCTGCAGTACCAGATGCTTTGATAATGTCATTTGTGAGTCCAGAGGGCTCTGCTGTCTTTCCATCCTTCATAGCTTTCAGAGCTTTTGTAAGCTCCTCTACAGTGATGTTTGGAATCGGACCTTCGATGGGTGGAGCGTCAAAGTTGACATTGATGGGATTTGTTTCATTTAACAGACGGTTGAAGTATTCTCTCCACTGTAGCTTGATCTCATTTTGTTCAAGAACCATCTCTTTTTTGTCGTTTTTGATACATGAGGCACCAACTATGTCTTTTTTCGTACGCTTTATTTGTTTTGCTATACGATACAGAGATTTCATTTGTTCACCTTTCATTTAGTGAACCACTCTCTGTACTGATCTGTCCGAGCCAGTGCGACTTGACGTCTTGCATAGTTGTTCTTTTCACGGAAAATTTTATGGTCATCAATAGACGTTGATTTTTGCCATTGCTTGTATGCAGCTTTCTTTTCAGCTATTGCATTTTGTACACTGTTATTCCACCACCAAGTGTCCCGTTCATGCTGACGTTGTGTACCAGTTTCCCCACAAACTGTAGTTGCAGCGTTTATCAAAACGGTTTTGTATGTACTCCAATCTGTTCTAGCTTGCGATTAGTGGTCTAACTGTGTTGCAACAAAACCGCCATGTTCGTTGTCAAAACCATCTGTTTTCTCTCCAATCAGGATTGTTTCAGATTTTGGTATTGTTGAGATGGTGTCAGAGAACGCAGCCCAGAAGTCATTTTTTATCTCTTCTGATTCGCCTGTCTGTGGTGCGTATGCAGAAAAAATAATCATTGTTTGCCTTTCTAGGCGAAGCTTGATCCACATGAGACGTGAATTAATCCTTTTAATATCCAGTATTTCTTGGGCTAGCGGTTCTCTGACAAAAATTCCAACATCATTTTTTGCCGTCTTTTGACCATTCCAGAATAGTTTATATTTTTTTTGTTTGAGTTGACATGACAAACACCATTCAATTTCCATCAGGGTCTCCTGAAGGCAACAGATGTCAATTCTTCTACGCTCGAGCATTTCTGCGATTTCTATGCTGCGGCCAGTCAGTGATCCAACATTGAGCGTTTCTTGGCACCCCTTGACCACTTAAGGCCTGCTGAGGACTAGGGGCCGTTGTTTTTTTGTGATGGCATAGGAATAATTTGGGGAAAAATTTTTACATCCAGACACCCATCCTGATGACAACCACCAGTTATAAGCGGTGGGCCTAGCCTTTTGCTCAAAGCACGCAAGGCAGCGTGGATGCAGTTTTTTGTCATGCATTACATGCAATAACAGGGGGGGGAGGGAAATAGGCCCTAAAATTGAAACACTTCAAAGTTTGTCGTAAATTCCTGTCTCTGAATTGTTTTCAAATGGTTTAGAATTTAAGGTATAGCAAATTTTATGTAGTATATATTTTATATACTGTTGATGATATCGTTTTAACAGCCACGTCTGAGCAGAATTAAGCACAAATGTTTGACTGGATGATGGCCCTGTTCAGTTTGTAAAGCTGGTGTAGGTAACAATTCAATCAAGTGTCAGCAGTGTAACCAGTGGTGTCACAAACGTTGTTCAGAAATAATTGGTAATTTATCTAAAGTGTCCAATTTTGTTTGTCCTTCTTGCATCAATCCACAACAACAAATTCGAAATAGCAATGTTTTTGAAGCCATTACATTAGAGAAAGTCACATCGTTTCAATATTTAGGGGATGTTCTGGATTCTACTGGAACAGCTGAAGCTGCCGTTCGAGCACGCATACGTGCAGCATGGAATAAATGGCATCTCCTTGACTCTGTGTTGATGCGGCGTGACATCCCACTACCACTACGATCAAGACTTTATAAATCAGTGATACGTCCGGTGTTGTTATATGGTGCAGAAACATAGCCAATGACAACCAAAACTGGAACAACAACTTCACCGAACCGATATAAAAATGCTCCGGTGAATGCAACGAATTACTCTGAAGGACTACATCAAATCTACCGAAATCCTGCGTTTTGCTGGTTTAGATGATGTAAAGGACGAATGCCGGCAACACCGTCTGCGGTGGTTTGGTCATGTCATACGAAGTGGAAACAATGCCATAACTTCTCTTGCAGATGTTGAAGTACCTGGCACACGTCCCAAAGGCCGTCCAAAGAAGTTCTGGTCGCAAACAATCGTGCAAGACATGAAAGCTCTAAATTTAAATGAAATGGATACAACTGATCGTCTAATTTAACGCAAAAAGTTGATGGCAAAGAAAACAACGTCCTACCTTGGGAAACTGGGTCTCTGGACGCTAAACGAAGATTGATTGATTGGTCGTCTGTCATTTTTGTGATGGTCCAGCAGATTTACATAGGAAACACATTTAGCTTTGTACTTGTACTGATAATGATATCTGAACTTTTCTAGATTTTTTGAATTCTTAAAATGATCTTGCCGCTTGTTATGTTTCGATTGAAATTGCCCCACTTGACTAAATTGCTCTAGTGCAACTCCTCTCGCTCCAGGTCCATAATTATTTTGATTTTCTCTGTATTTTCTAAATAACACGTAACCATTGATACCAAATTTCCAGTCATACATGCTATCTTTTGCCCAAAATTCAGTTATGCTGATAATATTTGGTTTTTCTTCTTTCACATATAGAGCTAACTTATACTTATCAAACTTTTGACGTTAGCATAAAATATTTTTAAATACCTCTTAGTGGTGTGTTATTTAATTGTTTTATCTTTGCCTTGGATTACAAATTTTTTTTTCAATTTAAGAATTTTTATTTCGCCTGGTAGGCCTCACACCCAATATATCCGTTCCCGGGATATTTTCTGGTTTTGTTTGTTTTTTGCTTCATGAACGAGTAATCGAAATCTTGGAGAACTTTTCTCTGTAGTTTTAAAATTGGTTAGAGACTCCATTATTACATTTTTTGTGGTCTTATCCCTGAGTTCTTCTAGAAGAGGTCTGTTCCCTGTTTGTTCTAAAAACTTTCTTTATGTCTTTTTCATCGCATGCAACTTTTTAAGAGTTCTTCATCAGTTCAAACATCATTTTTTGTCGTCTATAGTTTTCTGCTCATCATTTGTAGCATTACTCTCTTCAAGTATTTGGAGAATGATGTTGTTACGACTTACGGCTCGTTCCGACGTTTCTTTTTCTAGGTCCACAAACTCTTCGGTTTTAGGTTATCATTTACTAACTTCATTTTATCTTGGACGACCTGCATTTTTTTGATTACTGCCTAGAACATCATCGCAGTCACATACTCCTTTTCTTCTGAAGCTGAAGAGAGTTGTACTGCCTGTTCTGGTTTAATCACCACAATTTTTGTAGTTTAGATAACCCACAATCTAACTCCATAATTTTTTGTTTGAAATTTCTCTCATAATGCCACTCATCAAGTTTTCGATTGTAGCCAATCTAGTGTTCGTATCAATCAAAGTAGCCATGATTTCTGTAATTTTCTTGCAGTTACAACACTCCGCATGCACCACGTACCCGTTAGGTTCGACATTATCTTCGTGATTGATTTATTTAATTTTTAACGGGTTTATTCATGAAAAAAAAAACATGAATAGGATGCCCTAAAAAGTGGTATATCTTCTGTGTTAATGGGTACCAGCAGCGATCAAACAAAACATCGTAACAGAAAAAGAAAATTTCTCATAGGTTTATTGTTTTATTATAATAAAACAAACAAAAATCGTAACAAAATTATATGAATACTAATCACGACAAACATTAATGTATACTTCCATGCATCGTGACGCGTGGGCACTAAAATTAACTGACAATATTTAAATAAAAGCGTTTAGGCAGTAAGTTCTTATTTTATTATATGTTTCCACGATGTTTAAAATTATATTTTTCGAGCCATGCTTAGCAAGTAGACTTCGTTCAGAAGAGTTCTACAATTTTATCATATATTCAATTTTAAATAAGCCAATCAATTTTGAAAAGTTATGTCCTAACTATGGATATAATGGACATGGCATAAAAATTAATTTATAACAAAAATTGTTTTTTGTTCCATGGTTCAAGCATCGTCGTTGTCTTCGTCATCGTCTTTGATTAATCGTCTGATCTGAAATTATCGCTTGCGAAGTTTTAGTCTCGTTTGCTGTTTTAAATTCGATTTCTTATTGCATTTTACATATACTATATATAGTACATTTTAAAAAATGGGATTAGAATAAGTTTCTGCATTTATACATTTTGTTTTATACATTTTACATTCCACCATACATACATACATATACACATACATAAGTAGTTAAGTACACATGACATGACATTGAGATTAAACTATTAGAGAATCTTAATTCTTAACTTGTCAAAATAATATTAAAAACAATGATACATTTTTAATTAGAAAATATTTGCTTAGTATTTGATTTGACAGACACAGATTCTCAACCAAATCAAAATGCCTGTGTGTTCTATTAGATAGAAAATACCACTCATCTTATTTAGATGAAAATGTTACTTTACACAGGTTAATTTAATTTAGACTATACTATACACTATACTATAGCTGTAAAGTATAACACTATACAATATAATTATAATAATCAGCAATCAGCAAACAATTATATATAATAATATAATATAATAGTAATCAATAATATTAGTAACATAATAAATGCATTAAATGGTAATGTTAACTTTAACTCAAAGTTGTATAAATATTAATTAAAATAAATTTAAATTCAGACTGCCAAAGAATGATATTAAGAGAATGCAATGGGAAAACCTCATTAAAAAATACATTGACAATTACGATGAAATAAAAGATTTTAATTTGTAGCAAACATTTTACACTAGAAAGTTTTCATAAAGTTGGTTTGAAAATTTTTCTTCAAAAAGATGCTTTTCCAATGATATTTGACAAGGTTAGTGTTACATATATAAAAACCAATCATTTCAAGGTTCAGTTGTATAATTTAAATGTTTTTAAAGTTATAATTTTGAAATTAAGATATTGTTGTCAGGATAATTTTAATTTATTATATACTGAAATTAAACTTATTTTAATTTTTTAAGTTCGTAACCAATAATCTGGTTCTATCATAATTTAAACATTTTGTATTTTTAGCCTTCTTCAGATGTAAAGTTACTTTCCGATAATATTTTTGCAACGTTAATAACTGATGTGATGTCAAGTGTAAATTTGGTTCGTATTTTTAAATCTATATATTATCAAGATTGTGTTACATTTTAAGCCACCAAGTATTACAAATTTTAGTTTTTATTAAATATTTTTAAAATTTTGCTTTGCGTTAAGTTTTGTTATATTTATATTAAAACATAAAAAGCATGTTTATGTTTTATGTATAAGATAGAAACATAATTAAACATTTGTCTTGTCGTTCTGACCGGAGTTGTCACCTTAAAGATATTAAATAGATGCCTTGCAAATAATAACATATATTCAAAAATGTCCAGTGTTTAATAATTTTATAATACTTTAATAAAACTTTAATAATTTAACATTTCAGTTACCCTCAATATCATCGCTGCCAGTTTAAAAAACATCTACATCTGCTGTTAAATTGGTTTGTATGTTTGACAGGTTATAACATAATATACGTATCAAATACAATTTATTAAACTTTCTGCAACTCTCAAATACAAATAGTTATCTAAAAAATTTTTATATGGCTTGCATTCATTGATGCTTCTATTTCAAAAAGCTGAATTGTCATTTAAAAATTACTTTATGAAATTTTTGTAATATATACTTGAAATGTAACAGACTGGTATTGATGCTTTGAAGCCGAGAAGTTTGAAAAGGAAAGCTAATCAATCAAGTACGACATTGACTAAAACAAGGAAAGTGTTACAGCTGCAATAGAAAAATAAAGAGATATAAATTAAATGTTCAGGCATTTAAAGAAAAAATTAAAAAACTTAAAAAAATCAATGATGAACTGAACTCAAGATTGGTAGCAAGTTCCGGTAAGAAAATTTTATAAATTAGAAACTATTTTTTCACTATACATTTTTGTTGAAATTGTATCATTGCTTCCAACCCAAAAGGATCATCTGGAGTTGTT